TTTGTTAAATATTCTTACAATGCATTATCGAGTCCTTCGAATCAACGAATGAAGAAATCGGCGTTAAATCTCCGTCCGGCCAAATTAGACTTCGAAAATACAGTTTGCAGATATTTTGATTGGAAGTTTTGATAGATGAAAACACTGATAGAAAATTGTGTCTCGGTGAATTTGTTTTTACTTATAATGTAGCGTATAAAACCCACAGCGCTGATTGCTCCAGCAATATTACAGTAATGTTCTAGTAATATTACCATGCAAACATTACTGCGAGTTCTGTACTGTATATAGATAATGTAATGAACGAAAAATGTTACAGGCACAAGACTAAAAAAATAATAGTTTTTAAACTATGGTGTATCAAATAAGTATAAAACTTGTGCTTTAATACCTTGTAAACTATATCTCAAAAACCATCTCCTAATAAGCAAGAAACATTTTAAAATACTTCAGCAACACATTACAACGTTTCTACAACATTGCTGAGATGTTCCAAAATGTTTTTTTGTGCACCAAGCCATTATTCATTCTTGTATCTATGACATCTTTTGTTTACCATACTATAAACTATACTATATATGGAAGTTAACTTATTTCAGTGAGGCTCAATTTTCTATATATTTTTTTATATTATTATTAGTGCAGCAGTCCTTAAATTTATAAAAAATAAGTAAAATACAATTCGACTTTTCCGTGATAATAAAAAAACTCGTTATTAAAGATCCTTTCATAAGTACGGAAGAATTTTTTCAAAATTTTATACACAGTCCAGGATACAATATAAAAGTCTATACTGAAGTTCAAAGGAGTGCTTCCTTAAGTTGTTGACGAAAGATGCAAAATTTCATATGGTCGACGAAAGTTTAAATGAAAATTCTAAACGCGGAAATATTATTCCTCGAAAAATACACGAGCGGGAAACAGAGATTTGTCGAAAGTTCATTTTCCTTTTTCAAAGGTCTTTCAAATTATTAGTCTTCAAAATTGGTCTAGAATTTTAATTTCAACTTCTGTATGAATTTACGATACGCAATCGACATCGCGATCGCCGATCGCGTTTTATCGCGACAGAAATCGACACCTCGGCCGAATCGGGAAAATCAATAACAGCAGCCAGTCTGCGCAGAGGCATGCCTTTTCTTATTCCGTCATTGATCTTTCTTCCTCTCCTTCCACCTTGTTATCGATCTTTTTAATGGAAGAGTGCAGGCGATTCGATATTTCGGAATATTCCGAGGGAGATAATGATCCCTCCCTACGTGCTGTACATACGTGTGTATATATCTTGTATACTTCTATCGTAACATGAGAGACGTCGCTGAACCACACAGCAAGTGTATGATAATCCTGTATAACCGGAAATATTATATATAGTGTACTTCGTTTCCAGCTAAAGTAGCATTATCGACGAGTGACAAAACGAGTGACAAAACGAGGACAGACATATATCTCCACCACTCATTGCCGTTCCAAATCCTGAAAAAGAAAACACCGCGATGGAGATACCGACGTCGATCGAGCATCGTGACTCTTTCGGGAAGCTCTCTCTCTCTTTCGCGATAGTATGAACCAACGAAATCGACGACGATCATATCCCGCATGTGTGCTTATATCTTTTGCCGTTTTACGTTGCATTGATTATATTTTAATAGGAAAAGTATAGTTTTACAACTGTTGTAAGATTCTTTAATATGATTAATTTGATATTTAGTTATCCATTTAGAGGAACTAAGGGAAAGACTGATCATACTCTCTAATTCTTTGAAGTGAAATCTCTAAAGAGTGAAAATTGAATCAGTCTTGAAAAAGACTCAATTTTCAGTCGTTAAGAGTGAGATACACTTTAAAAGTGTTAGAGTATGCAAAATAGAATAGAGAAGTTATAATAGTATCATAAAGACATCATCATGACCTTATTTGTGACTTACAAATTGATTTTTAAGTAATAAATGACATCATGATGACATTATGATACCATTATAATATATATCTTTATGATTTGATTATGACTTTTATGACTATGTTCTACCTGGGAAACAAACATTTCGTAGATCTATAGATCTTCGGATATAAATCCGTGAGCACTGAAAGACTTTTCCTACCGTTTCATAATTACTAATAGCGACAAATGGATCCAATTATTCGAGCGCTAATAATGATGCTAAATAAATACCTCGCGTTAGCTTGATATATCCATCGGATTATCCTGTAAAAATCGAAAGAAACCCGCTATTTACCTTGCGAATCACAAATCATCGAAATTATAGATTAATCTAAATTCTCTTTAAATCTTATTTTGTTCTATTCGTCTGAATTCCTCTTACACGGTTAAATAAGTTCATCGAACAAAGTTATCAGGATCGTAAGGATTTCTCCTTATTTCGTATCGGCCACTAAAGTTTTCTTTCACGAAAGAAAAAATTATTATCTAATCGCAAGTGTAAATAATATGAATGATGTTAAAAAAAATAAGGAAGGCTTGATTTTTTATTTCGATGATTAGAATTTCAATTCTGTACGGAATAAATTTTCGGTGGTTCCTTTCAGAACAGTTCAACTTGCGGTTTCGAATGTCGCGACGTAAACGCAATATAATATCTAGGATAGAGACACTAATCGAATGAGAAAAACATGATCCAGACGGAATCACATGCTAAACGTCATTGTATGATATCATTCGAACGAGAAAACCAAAGAAGTTTTTAATTATAAGCTGTCCAAAACATACAGAATCAATGAGAAAGGCAATAAAGCTATATTGAACTGAAAAAAAAAAAAAGATATGATAAAGTAGATCTCCTTGCATTACGAGTATTATCAGAGAATTCAGAATACTATATTAATTATTGATAAAGCTAGGATAGAGGCGTATATATACATATATATAGAAACTATTTATAGCTACTAGACGATAGTAGCACGGCGTAAACACTCAACAATTTAATTAATATAATTGGAAACTTCACTGAATACACACAGGCGAACATAAACTCTCTCTCTCTCTCTCTCCTTCTATCACCTCTGCGATGACCGATAATTATGTCGTGGGAACTGCGAATATTATATATACCGTCATTATTATCTCCATCTCGAAATTATCGTAAAGTGATACTCAAGCGGAACAAGTTATTATATGACATCAAAATGACGTCAAAATGTCTCTAAAATAATTAATACTTAAATTAAACTTTTTAATCAGTTACGATTTAACGTCATTTTAACATTACTATTATTCTGCTTGAGTATTAAACACGTATCCAGGAAACAATTAATTCGAACCGCTCGAATCAAGTCTTGAAGATCCTCGAACTCGACGCGAATCTTTGCGTTATAGCTGCTAGATGATAAACAAAAAAATTCCGAGAGCGCGTTCGGTATTCTCGTAGCCGTAAAACTATTCGATCCATTTGTGTTTTGCGACAACCTTCTTTCGATCACCACCTCACCGAGAAAAGGCATGCTGCGATATGTGTTCACGAAAGACAGATCACATTGGCACCAAAAACAATATATCATTTACACGCGCGGTAATTTTTACCCTCGAGATGCAGTATGCCGTATATACATATATACATATATATATAAATCAACGCAAGATTTGTAAATTAAGAAAGGCGCTTTCCGTCTGCGCATATACGTAGCATCATATTACTTTCATGTCGAGAGAACGTCAGCGGAAAGGCCTTTCTTAGCCCTTCTTACCAGCGAAAAGTATTCACTTGTCTGTAATTGACCCACGTATAATACTATAAACAAATAATTCGTTTCTAAAAAGATTGTAATAACATATACATATATGCATATATTATAAAAGCGACTACTTTTTAAACGCGAAGACCTATAATAATGTATTTCGCACTCGTCACAACTTTGATAAGAAGATAAGCAATGATCGCATCAGTGATTTCGAGTCAATGATACATTATTGAAACTCATTGAACATTAGCCTTCAAGAAAACAAAATAAAAGAGAGAAAAAAGTAAGGTAAAACGAGAAATTTCGAACAGTCCAGCAAAATAAGTGATTACAATAATGATTTGTAAAATAAGTTCACTGCCACTCAACGACTTGCGCCCCTTAGGAGAGCGCCAATATTCCAAGATGTGAATGTGTACAGTTATGTGAAAAGTATATTATAATACAACGTAATTATATTTACATATGATACTAATTAGCATTATGTAAAACTAAATAGTATATAATAACACTGAGAGAGTGTATATGATACATACGTAGGATATAGGAAACAAGAAATAAAAAGAATACACATTGATTGCAGCTACTTCAAGGAAAAAAAAAACGTTTACGCGCCCGCTCATTTGTATATTACGATATTAAAAGTTAGCACTAAACATCACTTCTCTCCGCTGAACGATAATCAAGTTCGATTATACTTTCCTTTCGTCGTCTCGCTTCTACAATGGGAAAAAAAGGGGCGTCTATTTTTACTGTGTAATATTATAAGTTCGTTGGAATTCAAAGCGTCACTATTAACAGATATCTAACGAGAAATCTAGTCGTACATTTAATCAGCTTTCTATCTTGAGCACGATCGGCAGTGCCGCGTGATATGACGTATGTATATTGTTTCGAATTAATGTACCGTCTGATATTTTACAATTTTTCTCTCATAGAACGCGCGATGTTTTGTGCGATTTACATTTATTAAGTGTTATGTAATTGAATTCTTTTTATAAAAGCCCTTACATTCTCTGTGAAAATGTTTTACTTGCCTCGTCACCATCTCCTAAAAGAAACCTCTTATTATATAATAGTATCGCGAGATCAATTAACATGTGTTGAAATAGAGAAAAGTATTTTATTCACAATTCTATTATTTTAGTATATATATCATACAATATTCCAACTAATAAATGCATGAAGGAAAAATATAAGTATCAAATGTTATTACGCTTTATTACTGTACATTACAATCGATAAAGTACTTGCGATTGATTATTATTATTTATCTAAAACACGAGCTTCGAGAAACTTGTATTTTATGGTTTGCACTCCTGATGATAAGGCTCCAAAGTTCGGAAGTCTCTCCAAGTCGGAGGAAGCGCACTGTGCAAATACAAGCTGCAGCGTTTGCACGGTTCGCTGAACAAATTGATTAAACTATGAAACCATGTCTGAAAACAAAAGAGAACGTAATAACAATCGTAAATACAGCACATTTGGAATCCTTAGTTAACGGATGAAAAGATGGTATCTACATAACTAGATTTAGTAGTATATGAATAAAAACAATGCATTAATCAACATTAGTCAACAGCAATCTAATTAAAAATAATCTTGCTAATTTTTATAATAGAGAGAGTATTAATAAAATTAATACGTCATGCTTTTGTTTTAATCAATTTTGTTATTCGTTTCATTAATGCTATTATTCGTCACTTATCATTATTACTGTCTTAAAGTTTAAGAATCAATTTTTCCTTGTTTATCAAATGTTAAACGAGAACAAATAATACTCATAATTTGTGAGCGTGAATTAGATCGTGGTCAGTGAATACACAAAATTTCTTTCAATTAGACTGCTATAAGTTAATGCTAATGATGATTATTTCTTTTATTTTACAATATACAAGTACACAATTATTAACAAATGCAATTATTAATGAAATGTTAATTACCATAAATGATCGCACTGCTAACTCGGGTAACGTAGGCGAGTAGAAATGCAACATTGCGGCATGCGCGTTTTCCGTTACTTTGCGAAAGACCTTATGTCTAGATTCCGTCCATAGGTCCATCGTTTCACCATAACCCTTGACTACTACCCGCTCGATCATCAATCCCTTAAACGCTATCACTGCTTTTAGGACGTGTCCCAGTGTAACATGTAATACTGCATTCGATGCAAACGGACGAGACACGGATACCGTCATGTCATTGAATAGTCGATCAAACGTTGATATCATAGAGTCAACTTGCCTGTATATGTTAAAACTGATTAAGTCCATGCCCTGAGACACAGCGTTATTTTTACCTAAAGATCTTACAATAGAATCTGACCATGAACAATTTTGTCAAGAGTGAGAAAGAAGGGTATATATACTGTCTTTTTATGTTATCTTATTCTAATTTATACTATTTTACTCATTCTAACTTACTAAAGTGGACAAAAACGATGATCCAACAATTTTTATTTCATGACCAAATTCAAGGTTCATCACTTTTACTTTTACCATTACCATTAATTATGTGTTGTGAGAATTAATCACAATAACTTACGTCTGAGGTACATTGTGATTGCTGGTTTGATATCTTCCCCTTTTTGTTCTACTTGAACTTGTGTAAGATCTCTTTAGTGAGTTTTGGCTGAGCAAGGACTGAGCAACGTTACTATATTCATGAATCTTATCTGTCCATTTATAACTGTTAACGAGTGTGCTATACAACGCTTGTCTTTCTTGTGTGGTCTCTTGACTGAGGTAAGTTGTGCTGGCTAAATTGAAAGGACCGGGTGGTGGATTTAAACTACTTATCGCCTGTTCTACGTCTCTGTAATGTTTTAAAATAGCAAAAATTAATTTGTTTCTTACAGCATCCTATATAGAGCTAAGATTCTCAAACACTTACCTCAAGTTAACATTTACAGTGGTCAACAGTTCCTGTAACTCAAACAAATACTTGGATTCTTTATTCTCCTCCCCATGTTCTGCCCGTAAGCCATTTCCAAGAGAATCAAACACTTGCCCGACGTTGGACCGGAGTACTTTGATAGCGGTCAATGCCGTCTGCAGCTGCTCCATGCTCACACCTGCTAAAATATTACATTTATTTTGCAATATTTCATGTTTTTAAATAAATTAAAGAATCTACAGTATAATATTTTTAAGTTTTTGATTCAAATATCCAAACTTGACAAAAGCATATATTACAAACTGTGCATTGTATTATATCTACTGATAAACCAGTAACAGGTGAATATATAGCTTGCTATTTTATTTCAGTTTTTCTAATATCAGAAATTTTAGAAAATATATAAGCCATAAATTATAGTGTCATGGATCTGTCTTTTATTTCTACACTAGAACTTTCTTTCTTGCTTTACAATGGTAAGATACACTCCAATTCTGTTGTATTTCTGTTGCAATATTAAGGTTCTATCGATATAAAATTAATTTTAATCATGATTAAATTAATTTTTTATCTTTTTCTAGTGCTAAGAATTTCTAAGAATTCTAAGTCAAGATAAAAATTAATCTTACACTGGTGAAACCATTCTTAGATTTAAAAAATAAAGAGTAAATTGAATCGATGTTAAAGTTAATCATAAGAGTGATAGAATCGTACCTATGGATGATGAATTATAATAGCAGAAATCAAGTTCGAAAAGAAGACAGTAAATTTGCTATAAAATCTTGATAGCTGATACAACACAATAGCTAACTAAGTACTCAATATTTTGAGTGATCTAATATTTTATAAGTAATAATGTAAAAATCGTTAAAAGGACCTGTAAAGGCATAGAATACCTCGTTCAGTTCAAATTTTGATAAAAATACACTCATTTGACGCGTTTTTGTACGGAACGAACGAATCTGGCAATAAAAAGTGCCGCTATGCCCTCCGAACCGAAATATTAAGCGTTAAAGTTGACGACTGTTGAGGTTAGAAAATCTGTCATACCGACTACATGTAGCGCTATAAATTCATGATCTGTGATCTCTTGCGCATGCGTTTCACTAAAATAGAGAGTGCACGAAATTTAAAATCAAATTAAAAAATTAATTAGTTACTCGTGCAATGTTTTTATTATACGTAGTTTTATTCTAAATCAAGAAGACTAGAACCAGGAGAGTAAACTCGGTCAAATATCGGTAGAGGAGGTAGACTAAAAAGTGACGGCGGATAACTTCCCCCACTCTTGCGCTTCATTAGTCCTCTCTGTCGCTCTGATAGTCGTTTTCAATTCGTGACTGCGCATGTCAAACAAACACTAGGGCCGGTATTCATAGTTGTTCTTATATTTAAAACTGCCTTAAGTAACGTCTTAAGATGCCCTCTAGATTCATAGTTAAAAAATAAGGCGATACTGAACTTGCACCACGAAGTAGGAGAGAAGGAGACCGAACTTAATACAATTAGATGTGATAAATTAACTTACTAGTCAGTAAGCAACACAAGCTGACAGCAACACATGTGTCATCAATAGGTTATGGTAGAGACCTTTAGGGGCTCTAGGTTATGGTACATGTCGCAAGCTGAAAAAGTGGTCCTGATTCGTTACCCCTAATTGGGAGGGAGTCCGCTGAAAGGAATGGATTCTTATAGAAGCCTAGAAAACAGAGATGCGACATTGCGTCGGTTGGGTTAGGTAACCACCGCCACAGATTATTACCCCAGCCAATCAGAATCACCCATAGTCACGTGACGAGTTGGCGAGTCTCTCTTTTTAGGGTTTCTACGTACGACGAAAATCGGATGCAGTATGCTAGAAATCGGTCTGAGATCTCGATTCGAGACAAAGTTACTAGATCTCGGATCGTGGACACAGGCAACGCGGATAAATATCTCAAACAGAAGTCTCGTAAGCTTGTGTCCACTATGCTAGAAATTGGTCCGAGTTCTCAATTATTCTCGATCTGAGAAAAAGTTACTAAAACTCAAATCGTGGACACAGGCAACTCGGATGAATATCTCAAAAGAAGCATCGTACAACAAAAATGCATCCTGTCCCATTTTTCCGTAGCTCCTTCATTTTATTCAATTCCTTTACCAACATTATATTTAATAACTAGTCAATGTTGGTAACATGAGATATTGGTAGATAGTCATAACCTATAAATAAAGCAGTTTACGAAAGTTGAAGACGCCTTTAAAAAAAACTTTAAAATAAAAAAAGGTTTACGAAGGATTCTCTAATCTCCTATATCTTTGGTAAGCAAGAATAAATAAATTAAATTGACAGAATGAAATTTATGGATTCTTGTAGTAAAATTAAAATAATAAAATGTAAATAAAAATAATTAAAGTATAACAATATATTTCTGCATTAAAAAATTAATTATCAATTTTTAGGAAAATATGGATAGAGATAATGTTCGAACTTTGTTGTTATTGTATCAACAACATCCATGTTTGTATGTTGTGAAATCTATATGGATTTTCACAATCGTATAAAAAGAGAAAAGGCTTTACAAATAATATGTGATCAGTATACAGAAATAACAAAACAACCACTAACAATAGAAATTGTAAAAAAGAAGATCAACAATTTAAGATCACAATATTTAGATTATGTCAATAAAATTAAACAATCAAAAGCAAGCGGTGCATCAACTGATGAGATTTATAAACCTACCTGGTGGTTATATGAGGATATGAAATTTCTTGATCCTTATATTGCACAGAGAAGAGGAGAATCTTCTATAACAGAAAAAGTGAGCAGAAAAAATACTTGAAAGTTACAAAAATATTATAATTAAATAAATAATAATTGAAAAATAATGATAATTTGTAGTTTTCTAAGCATGAATCGGAATGTTCAACAATAAACGAATTAATAAATGAAGATGATACGGACAATTTACAGCTATTGGATGTACATAATGTTGTAAAAGATAAAGAATATGATAAAGGTAAGAATGATAGACTTTATATTTTATAATGTTTTAATGTATAATTTTATAATATTTATATCATGTGCATGTATATGTATACGTGTATGTGTTTGTGTGTATGTGCGCGCGCGCACGTGTGTGTGCGTGCGTGTATGTGCGTGCGTGCGTGTGTGTAAGAAATATAATTTTGATTTATATTTCTAATTATTATTTTTATTTGTTTTAAATAGAAAATATCTGTGAAAATATTCATTCATCCTCTTCAATGAGTAGTATCTCATCACAATCACGTACTGCAACATTCGCTAAAAGAAAAAAATCTGAATTAGCAAAAACTAATTCCTTTGATGTTACAAACAATTTTTGGTCAAAGGCTTCAACTGCAATTGAATCGATAAGTCAAAATAAAGAAGCAGAAGACGGCTTGAAACATTGGATTTTATATGTAGAGGACGAGTTACGTAAGATTAAAAATTTGAAAAAATTAAAAGGTTTGCAAAGAAATATTATCACATTAATCGATGATGCAGATAGTGATTAAACAATATACTATTTTTATATTGTCCTATCTGTTTTATTATTGTTCATATAAGTTTTATTATTTAGTAAGTAATATTCATAAAGTGAGTGATAAATAATTATTTTATTAGTATAGTAAGTAACGTACGTAAGAGTTTGATACAAAATTATTTTATTACTATAATAACGTACGTAAGTTTATGATACAAAATTATTTTATTACTATAGTAACGTACGAATGAGTATGTAATACAAAATTATTTTATTATTATAGTAACGTATGAGTATGTGATAAATTATTTTCTTACCTTTTAGTAACTTAAATTCTTGTTATTCAACTCTTCTTCCAACTCTTCCAATATTCTTAAAATGTGATTTGAAAAAAAAAAACGATTTTTTTTATGTGATGAATAGTTAAAGATAACTATTAACATTATAATTTTTATTTCCTTATGTCGAATATGCTGTGAATATTTAAAATTAAAATAAGTAGCAGAATATAAGTGATTATTTATGATGTTATAGTTATTTGTTATAAAATACAAAATATAATGTAATTGTTACAAAATAAACAATAAATGGTTGAAGTTTGGAACATTTTTAGAACGATTTTTTTTAAACAATTTCCCCCATTTCTCCTTTTGCACAGAGACACTTCCGCATGCCAGACAACAAATAAAAAACACCCCGATGGAATACACGCGTTGGAAAACAGCTTTATGGACGAAAAACCACTCTTGAGCGGGGTTTATAAAGACTAATGTTTTTTTTTAAGAGTGAGAGAGAATAAAATATTGTTTCTTTTTAAACATTTTTAATACTTCAAATTTTGCTTTATACCGTATTATATTAATAAAATAACATATTTAGAACATATTATAAACATCTTATTATGATTATGCTTGCTTTTTGCAATTTTATATTTATAACATTAGCCTTACATATTTTAATAGTAATGTCAAAAAACATAAAGATATACATCAAGATACTGCTTTTGACTATAATATAAATTACAAAATGAGATGTTAAATTTATACAACAAATAATATACAATCTTTTAAATACAATATAAATAAAATTATAACGTCATACTTGAAGCATTTGTAATATTAATATATTGTTTTAAAAATATGTATCATACGTAACGGTTGTTTTTCATTCACAAAATAGAAAAAGCATTCAACAGTATTAAAAGACAGTATTAAAATAATAAATATAATATAGAGTATATAATATTTTGACTCTTATATGCCCTTTATAAGATTTTTGTATTAAATCATAGCTTCTTGCCATTCAACTCTTCCAACAGTATTAAAATATTGTTTAAAAACATCACGAACATAAATTGCGTTTCTATTGGGTCTTATGTTTACAATTTCTAAATTACGTAACTGTACATTATTATTTCTCCAAATAGCAGGTATTACGGTTCTATTTTCTAAATCTTCAATATCTACAGCTCCTTGTAAAAAAGTATTATTTTCTTTACTAATGTAATTATGTAAAGCGCAGCAAGCAAGTGTTATATTTTGAACTGATTCAACAGATAAATATATTTGTGTTAGAAGAACGCGAAATCTGTTAGCTAATATGCCAAAAGCATTTTCAACTACTCTCCTACCTCTACTTAGTCTATAATTAAATATTCGCTCATCATGAGGCAAGTTGCGTGATGGATAAGGTTTTAATATGTGATTCTGCAACGGAAAAGCTGCATCAGCTAAAATAACAAAAGGAACAGGCTGATTCATACCGGGTAATAATTTATCTTTTGGCACATTTAATAGATTTTGTGGATGATTTATATATTTTGCCAAATCACTTTCACGAAAAACACCTCCATCACTTACTCTGCCATTAACACCAACGTTGACATATATAAATTGATAGTGAGCATTAACTAATGCTAATAAAACAATACTGTTTGTACCTTTATAATTATGGTACAATGATCCTTGACTGAGAGGAACTTTAAATTCAATATGTCTGCCATCCATTGCACCAATGCAGTTAGGCACATTCCATTGTTGCAAATAATGGTCAGCAACATGATTCCATTCTTCTTCGGTATCTGGAGTCTAAAATATGTATAAAATATGTATATGTAAATGTATATGTGTATGTATTATGTATATTACTTAAAAAAAGTTAAAAAGTTGACCTTTAAAAATAATTTAGTTAAGTTAAAATTTGATGCATTTAAAATTAACTGAGTTAAGTTAAAAGTTATTAACTTTTTAACTTTTTTTTAACTTTTAACGTTTTAACTAGTTACTACTCAACCCCGGTTATGTATATAAATATTATTCTAAATATTCACAGCATATTCGATACAAAGAAATAAAAATTATAATTTTAATAAATAAAGTTACCTTTAAATATTCATCTTTCAGTACTTCATAAATGACTCTAACTGTTTCAGGGATGATACGTGATAAAGTACAAGCCGGTACTCTTGTTGCAAATTCCATGCTGCGAAAAGATTCTCCAGTAGCTAAGAATCTTAGAGTCAAGGATAGTCTTTGAATTGGCGGAATGCACTTTCGCATAACTGTATCTTGTCTTTGAATAAATGGAGAAACTTTAACCAACAAATTACTGAATAATTTCAAATCCATTCTGAAGAATCTACAAAAAGATTCTATATCTTCATTGACAAGTTCATTGAGTGCTAAGTGAACAGATCCTCTTAATTCGAATTCTCTTCGTATAATCCATTCTCTTGTCCACCACCTCCGTTGTCGATATCGTAATTGTTGCAGTTCTTGTTCTTCTTGTTGTTCTACATACACAGCAAAAGCTGCAAGAGTCAGCAACCTTTTTAATTTTGTCTTTCTCGCTGAGTTATTCATATTCCAATTGACCCTGTGAATAATCAAAATAAAT